CCAGACGTATTCATTTTCCTATGTAAAGGGAGTATAAATAAGCCTGAAGATGGCCCATGAGGACATTTAAATTCGCCCACCAGAAAGTTACCCAAGCACCCCCTCACCTATTGAGAGGACAAACATTTATACTATACAAAATTCATTCAAATTATATTTCCTTTTAGAATTGTATTTTTAATATATTTTTGTAACAAAATAAAGCATAATGTTATTGATATCTGATAATTAACAAAAATAAATAAAACTTCACACAGCAGATGTTAAACACATTAAAAGGACAAACACATTAAGGATTAAAATACAATAAAGCACTAGATATTTTTTTCCATCGTGGTTCTCGTTCTCGAAGATAACATCGACTGCTGGAGGGATGCAAACCTTTAGTGGCTTTCAGTAGAGCAGTTTTGCCCTCTGTCAATGGTACAGAACTGCAGGGCCATCCTTAAGGGGTGGGGGGAGCTTTCAGGGGCACTGCCATTCGGGTGGGTCCAAGAGACTGAGCACTGTGTTCAGAAAGCATGACACCTTATGTATCTATATTATACATTAGGGATGCCCAAGTCAGTATCGGTGCCAGAGTAGATAAGAGTGTATGCCAAGGGGTTAAATTGGGCTGGAACGCACCTTTGGGCTTATGTGAATGGCTGGGGTTTCAGTAGTTTGAGAAGCATGTTTCCAAATCTGCCTAGATGGCACTGAACACTTGGATTGTAATATACACACAATATAAAACAGTAACTTAAAAAAGCAGACAAACAAAATTAGCAATTTAGCATGTCACATTATGCACATCCTAAAAATAGTGATTTTACTGCAGCATTTTAAAATAGCAGCCTAAACATCTTACATAAATTAGATTGGTATTCATTTTAATGCCCTTGAAATGTGTAGTGTGGCTGTATTATCTACAAAAATTCCAATTCAGTATCAGTGCACGCTTAATATTAAAGAACCCTTGGGAGATTGGGGGTGTCTAGATCTCGACCTTGTGTCTTTGGGTATAAAGTTTTTCAGGGGCCCAGTCATGTCTTTGTGCAAGCCTGCATAACTGTAGCCCTAACAGTTCAGAGATGCCAAGTGAAGTGGACTGTGGTCCATTTGATGAGGGCTGAAGTCGCTGTCTCACTACAATGTCGCCCATCAAACCCTGGGAACGTCAGTCTAAACGCAGCATTGATGATTTTCATTTGCCACCATGTTTGTTATCAGTAGATGGAGTGAAAACACGCAACTTTAATTCCTGCTATGTCACCACTTATACAGAAACATATTACATCACCATTGTTCGCCTTGATAGATGAATCAACTTTTCCACCTCATCCAAGCGTAAAAAGGTTTTATGCACATTTATAATCTAAAGATGTTGATGGAAACCCTCTCTAGTCACTTAGAGCACATTTGTCTCCATTTTGAGCTCTTGAATTGTTTCTGAATGATTTTATGCACTGGTGCCATGATTGGCTGATTGGATAATTGCGTGACTGAGCAGGTGGACAGGTATTTCCAATAAAGTGGCCAATGAGTGCATTTGCTTTGGTAGACTGCCATCTTGTGGTGATGCTGATCCTGTAATGAAGGCCCCCAAAACAGCTTCATGAAATTCCTTCAAACACAGCAGTCAGCACATCATGTCCGCTCATCCCAGCTCAAACGCAAGAGTGCAATCACCTTGAATAAGAACATACCAGTCATTATGAATTAATATGATACTGTCCAAATTAATACAGAGCGAGGCCATTCTCACCAACCTTAGGGTAAATCAGCCAGAACATCCAAACCACATCCTTGTTTCTACACTTATTGTCCATTTTATCAGCTCCACTTACTATATAGGTGCACTTTGTAGTTCTACAGTTACAGACTGTAGTCCATCTGTTTCTCTGCATACTTTGTTAGCCCCCTTTTACCCTGTTCTTCAGTGGTCAGGACCCCCATGGACCCTCACAGAGCAGGTACTATTTGGATCGTGGATCATTCTCAGCACTGCAGTAACACAGACGTGGTGGTGGTGTGTTAGTGTGTGTTGTGCTGGTGTGAGTGGATCAGACACAGGAGTGCTGCTGGAGTTTTTAATCACTGTCCACTCACTGTCCACTCTATTAGACACTCCTACCTGGTCAGTGCACCTTGTAGATGTAAAGTCAGAGACGATAACTCATCTGCTGCTGCACAGTTTGTGTTGGTCATCCTCTAGTCCTTCAGTGGTCACAGGACGCTGTTGGCTGGATACTTTTGATTGTTGGAGTGTTGTCAGTCCAGCAATGACACTGAGGTTGGTCATTCTCCATCTGGAGTTGGAATTCAGGTGGATAAATTGAAAAAAAAAGACGTCTTTCACTCCAAAACCAAACAACCTTAATATGTCCATTAACATCTCTTATTACCGTATATGCAAAATGGAGAGCTTAATGCCAAACATGATTGAATATATTTTAATGTACAATGCAAAGTTGTATTCAGTTTGTCCCTGGTGTTACCCCTTAATGAAGCATTCTTTTTATCATTAGTTTATTTATTTTTCCACTATTATACTAATTTCCACAATTTTAATGTGACTGTATTTATTGAAAAAAGAAAAATATTGTAGAATAATTATGCTATCAAAGCTCTTGGCACATGCACTAATACAAAAATACAGATGTCTTTTATAAATTTTAACATACCTCTTTATACCATTTTGTAAAAAAAAACAAAATATTGTTGTACAATAAACATGAAAATTTAACTGAGATACAAATCAGTGCAAAAATGAAGTTTTCTAACATTTCAAATAAGATACTCTTAATACAGACAATAATTCTTCAAAAAGAACAGCTTATCATAACAAATCTGTAACACCAGCGACAATTATTTAGCGTTTTAGAAACTCTTCCTGCAGAAGTCCAGGTGGTTCCAAGTGTTCAGTAAATACAGAAAACGATCAGTGCTTGCTTTGTGTCTTGTTATGTTAGTAATTAGAAATATGTTAATTTTTCAAAATCTCACATTTCATGTTCCTAAGTCCAAATGTCGAATATACTAGACACTGAATGTTTCCCAGTAAACAAAAAAATCATGTATTATGTTATTTAATAGGCCACAGGTGCTTTTATAACAAAACCCTATTTGTTTTAACCCCTTAAAGTCCCAGGCTGATTACAAACTAAGGCTTATTATTCAGTAACTACAAGGATTTCAATGCAAACTGGCTAAACTATTCTTAAGTTATAGTGTGGGTACCACTTTAAAACAAGATTACCCTTATAGTGTTCATGAATGGTTGAAAATGAGTTTATTAGTGATTATTAATTAGGTCATAAAGACCTTAAAATCAAGCAGTTAAAACATAAATAAAAAGGGCAACAGTGACCTGTTTGGTTAATGGTTAACCCACATTCATTTATACTGTAAACTTCAGATTTTGATGTTTACTGATCTTATTTTGTCCTCTCCATCACATTTATTAATGTGTTATAACTGCTTATTAATGGTATATAAAGTGTTAATGACCTAACGAATAACCATTAATAAACTAATATTAAATCATGCATAAATGCTTTATAAGGGTAATCTTATTTTAAAGTGGTACTGAAGGATGTAATTAAACTTTGATCCCACTGGTGAGCCCTGGTCATTGAAGGGGTTAAACTGTCCAGTCTCAGGACTGAGGAGGGTATGTCTCTGTCTAAATCTCTATGCTGCCTCTACGGCCTCTGCCTCTCTTGCGCTCTGTCTGGTCATGCCTAGCCAAGGTAGCAAAACAAAATAAGCACCAACAGACTTAAATATTGATACATATCAAATTTCTGTATTTACTAGTTTTTCAGGTGTTTTGATAATTAATTACATTAACATTAGTCACTGGTGTCACTACATCTCACTGGTGTTATCTGCATATGGTGTAACACCAGTGACTGTGACACCAGTGACAAACTGAGGATTTTGTTAATTGGCTGCTATAATAGCATCCAGGCAACTATCTAAAATCAATGACATAATATGATATATGGACATTTTTTTTGACAAGCTTTCCATTACCCAGCCATTAAAGCACATATACACACCATAACACCAGTGACACATAGAAGTTATGTGCTGCCTGATAAACAAAATTATTAATAAATTAATGAAATATAAAGAACAAGTATGGACTCGCCTTCACATGCCTTGAGATGCTTCCTCTCTGATGAAGCAGTTTAACAGAGATGAAAATACTATGTTAAAATGTCATATAAGAGTCCTGATAACACCAGTGACCAAAATCTCTGTGACAAATAAATTTTTAAGTAAAATACATAGAGTTAAATGTAGTATAATGTTCATTAAATATAAACATGAATTTGTTTTATTCAGTTTCAAATTAAACCTTTCAAAAATATTTTATATTAAAAAATAGTTTCTCAAATGTTGAAAAAATTGGTTACGTTTTACTTGTGTAGAATGACTATGAAGCACATTAAAAAAGAAAATTCAAAGAAATCATAAGGGCAATCTGTTATTTAATCTTAGGCCAACTGTGTAAATGGAGCTGTGCATATTATTTTAAGCTCTGCAAGCCTTTGTAACATGGTTTTCCACTCCAAATGTAGAATGACCCAGGTGTTTAAAAACTTCAGCAGCACTGCTGTGTCTGATCCACTTGTACCAGCACAACACACACTAACACACCACCACCACCACGTCAGTGTCACTGCAGTGCTGAGAATGACCCACCACCCAAATAATCTCCTGTTGGGGTCCTGACCTTTGAAGAACAGGGTGAACAAAGTATGCAGAGAAACAGATGGACTACAGTCTAACTGTAGAACTACAAAGTGCTCCTCTATGGGTAGTGGAACTTGTTTCTGAGTGTAGCAACAAGGAGGTGGTTCTGATGTCATGGCTGATCGGTATATATGTATATTATATATGTGTGCATTTCTTTGTGTATGTTAGTATGGTCAGTTTTTGGTGTACGTGCAGGCAGAAAGGCAGAAAAGCAGACAGCAACTCTCGGCGCGGCCGCTAGAGCTCTCCAGCGCCCTGAACGCAGCCAGCCAGCCTGCCTGTGTTTATACCGCCTCGAGTGGAAGTGGGGCCGGCGGGCCTGGCACAGCGCTCCGCTCACATTTCACCCCACAAACCACAAATGTAAGCGTCGTGAGCGGGACTATAAGGCGAGGCATTTAATCAGCTATCGGACGGTGGTAAGTACGAGCGAAAACGGCGCCGATTCGATGCCGTTTTCGGCGTCTGGAGCACAAAACAAATCCGCTCCCAACTGCCTGGTTTTGTCTCGAAGCGAGGGAGGAATATCAACATGGCGTCAGCTTTAGCTCTGCTGCCGACGAGAACGCCTCGCTGCGCTGCTGCGCTAACAGGCTTTTCCCGTCGTTTCTGTCAGCGTTTTGTCGGGGTTTTCGACCTCGAGTGCCGGCCAAAACGGTATTAAGCAACAGTAAGCTGGTTTAGTTTGTCCTCATGTGAGTTGTGAGCAACGTAGCCGCCGTTGTTTCCCCCTAGCACTCGGATTAACCTATGTCGCACACTGCCGCGTAAACGGCAGTAAAGCTGCGTGGTCTCGCTGATTATCGCTAATAAACATTTGCCATTAGTCCACATTTAGTCCAGCTGTACTCTGTTTATCAGCTCGTTCGTCATTTAACAGGTACCTCGGTTTGCCTTCAGCACCTTCTACATTCCGACACTCACTCTGCGGGTCTACATGTACTGTAAGTTGGCCGTTTTAAAAGCACCAGCTTCATTAATAACAGCGTGCGTCCTTCAGAGAGCCCACATTGATGCATCCCACCTTCTTGTAGTAACGAGGGGGTTAACGTGTCCCCCGTGTTGCGCAATCATGTGGAAGCTTTGATGAAATAAAATGAGCAGTTTTTGTCCCTTGTCCTGTTTTGCCACACAGGTTGAAGCAACTATAATAAAAGTGCCAGGCTTTGTTTAGTAAACATAGTTTAAATGACTGACTTGTTAGTTGTATGGTTCAGCCCAGTCTTTGGTAGTGATGGGATGCACATGCATGTGGTAATCCTGACCAGATCTTTCATTTCCCTGACCAAGTAGGGTAAAAAGGGACCGAAGTTAGACTGACGCATGCACCATATTGTAATCATTAATTGACACCTGTGTGAGTTTGAGTTGAGGCTTGTCATGCCTCCATACTGTGTACAGGCGCATAAGGGCCATGTGGCTATTGGTTACAAGTTGATTTGGATGGAAGGATGAGTTTTAGGTGCTCATGTTCAGAATGATATTTAGTGCAGCTGTGCACTCTCAGAAAAAAATAAGTATGAAACTGTCACTCTTGTCCCTGGGGTGGTGCCCTCAAGGGTCCATCTCAGTACCTTTAGTCAGGGAACATAACTGAACCATAATCCACTGAAATGATATGTTCTAAGCTGTACTGACTCCACACACCCCGTCTCGTCTCCAGGACTTTTATTTTACTGTTCTGTTTTAAATCATTCGGTTATGAAAAGGTACAAATACGAACTTTTCACCTGGAAAAACTTATTTAAGGTTCGCAATCAGACCTTAAAACCACTGTAGTACCTTTGAGGGAACATTTACACTGTTTGTGCCTTGATGAGCGGAGAATGTCCCTGCACAGAACCTTTATTTCTAACAGTGTGAAAGGTGTCAGATTTTGCTTGTTAAAAATATTGACTGCAGTATTGAGTTCCTCTCTGTCCTGAGTGCCCAAAAAAAATAGAGAAACCAAAAAGTTTCTGTTGGTACCAGGTGGTGTCCAGTAGTCAGTAATGGTATGTTGTGTTTGTCCTGATGGGTTGTCACAGTGTAAAGGATTCCAATGGTTTAACAGGTGTTCTGGGACTATTTCCAGATGCATTTACTGTTTTGCTAATGGGCTGTAAAGGTGTCCTACAGGAAACTAGTGCTCTCCAATGGTAACCATTAAACTAATTCCACTTAGAAAGCAAACCGTCAAGTTTTAATCCTAATGGTTCTGAATGTCTTTTTTTCATCAGGGTGATAGTTGCTCACTTTTATGATATTGTGAAAATGCCTGCATCCGTAGCTTTAAGCAGATGCAGTAAGATTAGTTGTGCGCCACAAGCTGGACTCCATGCCCAGATTTACTGCAGTTACCCTTATAAAGCATTGGCTTCAACCAGAATGAATCAGTTTTTTACTTTGTTTTTAATGAATTTCACAGAATAATCTAAAGTTAATCAAAGTTGAGACCTCTTGTCCTCCCCAGTTGATCCTGTAAAAGCTTTCCTGACCGTCACCACTGTAAAACTAAGCTTGGTGTTCCTCCAGAGCTAACAAAAACATGGTGGACCTAAACAAATGCTGTTGAATTTATCGCACCCTAACGGGAAATTCATTTCTGGTTTCAGGAGAGATCTGGCAATTGCCTTTCATTGAAAATGACATTAAGCAGTACGCTGCATGGGTATTTTTTGCTCTACTTTTGATTATTATTCTTTTTTGTAGCAAATGCTGATGGGAAAGTGAAAATGTTTGATGGGGAAACAAAAATGGAAATAAGAAATGTTGTAATCTTGCTGGGCTTATTAGGAATTAATTTTTCCTAAACGCAGTCCAGCTGTGAAAATGTTATTAGAATCGTCAGTCTGAGTCTACTGGACGCAGTTGCAGCATAAAATCATCAGTATTTCAGTCTGTTTCAGTAGTGATGTCCACTTCTAGCTACACCGTATGTGTTCCCTGATGTTGCTTTACTCCTTGTCATGGCTTTAAAGCATGCATTAATGTACGTTAACCTGTTGCAGGTTGGGACGCACAGCCATGTCACGGGTGGTGAAAAAGAGGCAGGCCGACCCTAAAGTCGTCCAGTATGTGTGGTCAGCCATTGAAGTCATTCGCAACCAGAAGCAAATCGCAAACATGGACAGGATCTCAAAGTAATCCTCCGCCACATTTATTTGAATTTAATGTTGAAACTGGAACAGGAAACAAGCATGGTCTGTACTGCTGTATTTCCTGCAGGTATTTAAGCCGTGTGTATGGCATGCACCCGAAAGAAACGGCCAGGCAGCTGGTGCTTGCGGTGAAAGACGGCCTGGTGGTGGAGACCCTCACTGTGGGCTGCAAAGGGTCCAAAGCTGGGGTTGAGCAGGAGGGCTACTGGCTCCCGGGGGATGAGATGGTAAGACACATTGATGTTTACGTATTGCACTTGCAGCAAGAGACAGACCTGCCTAGTCTTACAACTGATGTAGGAACCTGTATGGATATTTCTAACTGTTCATACACATTATATTAACATATGAATTTAGTACAATGAAATATGTGTACCTAGGTCCTCTATTTGCAGTTTGGAGAATAACTTCAGCACAGTTTAAGCTATTGTTTAAAATAGCCAGTAGGTTATTGCTAAAATAAGTGTATCTTCAGTTTAGCCTGGAAGTTGTCTTCAGTTACACTACCCAATGAGGTGCATGTTATTCCTTCATGTTTTTGATGAATTGGATACACAATAGCTATCAACATTTTTCTCTTTAGCTTAATTACTTGCATTTGATAGCAGCTAGTACTTTACAATTTGGTAGCTTTCCTGACACAGTCTGTCTTCTCTCTTTTACTCTCTTTCAAAGTTAATTTAAGGACAGTTGTACTGATTTAAACTCATTTAAGTGGAGTTTTCCTTGAGTCTCCTTCACATGCTTTTCGTGTCAAAGAGACATTAAGATTTCAGTGTTTTCACCAGTAGCCGGTAAGATTCCTCTCCTGTGTGAGAGACTGCTTTTAGGGGCAGTTTGTGTTTGTGCTACATCCTCAGCCACTTGGCACATGTATAAGGTTTTAGCGCTAAAGCCCAACGGTTACAGTCAGCCGACTAAAACTGTCAGATTTAGGATTTTAAGCAATTTTTTCTGGATCACTTGCAATCGCAGGAGCAGATGTCTGAGGGAAGCAAGGTAGGCTGACATTAATTTGCTGTGATTTCTACTTACTGCTTTAATCTTCCCTGTAGTTGGTAGTTTGTGTAAACTGTGCACGGTACAGCGTTTGAACTGAATATAGCTTTTTGTCATAGCAGTGTAATCAAAATTGGATTACATGTGAAATTGCTCACATCCATGATGCTGAATCCTCACTAGCGTCATTCCTAACTCTGATGAGTACATTCTATTGCTTAATTGAGAAGGATATGAAATTGCTGTTAAAAAAATCAAAGGTCTTCCCATGTAATGCTGTCTACAAGCTTCATTAAGCTTCAAAGCTGTTCCGTGTGCAGTCATCCCTGTGAGTCTGTTTTGTCACTGAATGCCAAGTAGTTGTGATCTTTTCATACTAGCTAGCTCTTCGAATCTTTAAGAACTCTCCTTGCCCCAGATACATACACACCGTTGTGGTTTCACGCATCTGAAGGTATTTTGCAAAGCAGGATTTCTTACTTAGCCAGGTAACTTAAGCCTGTCCAAAAGGAGGAGAGCAAACGGATGTTACTGTTGGGCAATCCTGACTTTGGGTTTACGTTATCCAGCTTTCTGAGAAATCCCACTTTGTGAAACATCTCTTTTAATTCCTCTTTTCAAAGCACTCTCTCAAGAGCAGTATATCTCCAAGCACTGATGGAGACCCAGGCTTGAAGCTGAGCTAGCATTGCTCTTGCCAGAATACTCACCCTCATAAATGTTCCAGCTAAACATCCACCCACCTTTTCTGTAGGAGCAGCAAGAATAGTACGGAGATGCATCTGCACTGTTTGGAGACTTTTCAGCTGCAGGTCTCCTTTGATACCTTGAAAGTGCTAAAAGCAGTTTGGACAGCAGCCATGCATAGCTGATGTGCTGGCAGTAATACAAGTAGGATTTTCAAGGGTCGCCATTGCATATTGCCTGGTGCCACAACATTTCACGTTTTGGCCATTAAAAATGCCCTGAGTGGCCAGTGGAGATTTTTGTTGACTTTTTTTTTTCCCCCTTGTAACAAACCACCAGACCAGTCGAATATTTACACAGTCACAATTATCCACCATTGATAACAAAACGCAAGATCCAGAGCTTGTTTGGTTGAACACAAAGCCTTATTGGAGACGGGTCCAATTACATTAAATCAGATTTTGTCAGAATTTGGCAGGCGATTGCTACTTTCTACAACTCCTGCTGTAATTGCTGAGTTTTTAGAACATTTACCACCAGTGGCAGTGCTCACAGTAAAAAAAAAAAATCATGTTATTGACTAGAAAAAAACTCATTACAAAGAGTTTGTGCTGGAGTATGATTTTCAAAAAGGATGTGTTCTGTCGACAGGGGTGCAAATTTGATCTGACAAATGAGGTTACCAACTGTAGCTTGTGTACTTGCATACAGCAATTCAGCTGTAAAACCATATAAAAAATACACACATATATATAATGCTGCAAAACCTTGTATCTCCATTTTTGTTGTTTTTCAGTTTTGGGCTATAAAGCATTTTGAGCTGATACTGATATGAAAACTGCTCTATTATTCTTATTATTGCTGCTGTTATTATTACTACTACTATATCACACTTAATGTACCAGCATTTCGCTGCTGTCAGAACAAAACCTTGTATCTCCATTTTTCAGTGTTTGACATTATTTGAAAATGCCTGTTGCCCTTTACATTGTCTGCAAATGTCATGAAGAATGGACAAAAAAGAAACGGCCCAAAATGACTTGTAAAAATGTCTGGTTCCATTGACTTCCTTTTCCTGTAAAGTTATCATTTTGGAAATAAAAAGGTTTTCTTCTGACAACAGTGATAATAACATAATAATAGCTTATATCTGTCAGCTCTTTTGCAGCTCAGCCGTGTACTTTTTTCGACAACCATCCTGCTAACACCAAAATTAAATCACATAATTTGTAAGATGTGGAAGGGGACATGTCCCGCCTCTCCCTCCCCGAATTTGCACCAGTGTTTGTCAGTCATATCAGTTTTCAGAACAGACAGCCATCAGAAGGTCCGTGTGAAAAACGTGGACTGTTTACTTCATTCCCTGCTTTGGCTGGTATATTAAAACAAAACGAAATGGACGTGGGGGGCGTGTACCATAAAGCAGTTCCCTCACTGGTTTTTGGTGCTGAAGTACGCTTGTATACATTGTACTTACAATAAACATGTTAAGTGCATTTCTATAGTTATGGCCACAAATTCACAGGTTGCTTGATGGCCCGAGTGGCCAGTGCAAAGTTTATATCTGTCTAATTTTTGTCTTACTACTATGTGTGTGTGATGGTGGTGGTGATGCTGGTGGTGAGTTTCTTCAAAATGTTGATTCTTTTTTTTATTTTTTTCCTTCCTTTTAGTTTAATGGGTAAAGATGGGACTGTCTCAAAGAAAATAGTGTGAAAACGTGGTGAATGTGAATGTGGCATGTGAGAATGTGATTGAGATTCAGAATGTTTGTAATGGTTTGGGTTTGATTTAAATGGTCATTCACCTGAAAATAAAAATTTATAGAGGGAATGTAACAGAACATCTCTAAAAAAAAAAAAATAGCCTAATATACCCTGTCAAATCTGAATGTAGTGATCCAGATGTAATAGATTTTTTATGTAAACCACATTATAAATGAAGTGCAAGTCTTGAGTTCAGCATACTGACCATTTAAATTGAATCTGTGGTAAATAATCATGATCATTATAAATACTGTGCATAGTGAGTTGTAAAGCAACTACACTTCGAGTCAACGTGAGTGACTGTGATGGCGCTCTGCTTTGATCTCATCTGAGGGACGGAGCCTGTGCAGTCCGCTGGTCCGCAAGGCGGGGCTGGGCGGAGGGCGATCACTGTGCTGTGTGTGTTGCAGGACTGGGAGGCGGAGAGCCATGACTGGTACTGCTTTGAGTGCCACCTGCCCGGCGACGTGCTGGAGTGTGACAGCTGCTTCCGCGTCTATCACCTACGCTGTCTCTCTGAAGAGCACCGGCCCAGGGACGCCACCTCCCACTGGCAGTGCACTATCTGCAGGGTAGGCACACACACACCCAAGGCAGTGCAAAGGAGTGTGTGGAGAAATATTTACATTCATTTATTTTCTCCTTAAAATTGACCATAACTAAGGTCAAGTGAACTGAATGATCTGTAAAATGAATTGAAAGTTCAGTGTTATCCAAAGCTGTACATTTTTAGGTTCATGGCAGGATTTTTGGCTGATGGAGTGAAACTCCTGTCTCAGTTTCTGCAAACTTTGACATTGGTCCATCACACTGTGTGGTTAAAAACAAGTAATCAGACACTTTGTTTTTTGTTTTTGTTATTTAGTATAATTCCAGTGCGCATATCCTGTAAAAATGTACACAACTAATGTATTTTGGCTTTTTATTTATAAATATGAACAAAAAAGGTATGTGTTCTTAACAAAAAATAAAACAAATTGATGAAGAAAAAAATATTTGGGCACATTAAGTACAGTAAGTAAATACAGTACAGTAAGTACATTAGTATTGTACTGCAAAGCGGGAGACCATCTTCAATTCCCCAAGGTCATGAGGGGGTCTCTGTTGGACTTTTAAAAATATATAATATGGGATTTAAGTCAGAAGATTGGCCAGGCCATGCAAGCACAGTAACCTTTTTAAAGTCTTGAGTTATTTTGGCTGCATGTTTACAATCCTTAATTAAATTGTCTTGTAATATGTCCCGATTCGTCGCTCCATTCGTGTTTCCTTCAATGACATGTTAAGTATCATTACTCTATACATCACTGTGGCTTCTGCATTCGTGGGATCAGCCCTTCTAGAGTTCCGTTTTTATTTTGTCTGACCAGAGTACGTTGTTTCAAAACATTTCTGGTTAGAATGCTTGTGTGCAAATTTTAGACATGCTGCTGACTGCGTGGAATCTTCCCAACCAGTGGCGGTGTCTTTGATAATGACACCAGGTGAAGTTTTCACAAGGACATTTTTAAAAAACTTCTGTTTTTTATTAACTCTATATATATTTATACTTTCTTGTTGTATCTGAATATTTTCCCTATTATTTTTTAAAGCTATCTTTCCTTAGGCTTATAAATATATATTTTTTGTTTGTTTTTAACCTTTTCAACTCCTTGGGCTCACCAGTGGTTCCAAAATGCTCTTCGTCATATTCTTCATAACTTGCATATTTCATAAGCTACGTTCAAAAGGTTGGTGTCATATGAGAGCTGTAACTGTCTTCTTTCCAGTCAAATAGACGGGTAATGTAATTTTACAAATTTATAAAAAAAATGAAAAAAAATTTCTACTGAAAGTCGACCCATTTTCCACAAATCTGAGCTATAAACTGGATCTCAGATGGCGTCTCTTCAGTGATCTGCTCTGTAAAAATTATTTTTTATAAAATAATACAAAGAGTATCTAAGATTTTTGGCTTTCAGCAGTAAATTGAAAGCATGTAGCAATATGTTTATGATCATAAAACACATTTTCTGTTTACATTTATTTCATGCAGTTACTGAATAATGTGCCTTACGATCTGGTCATGTAAATTCAGATGGAAAAAACAAAATATACCCAAGGCAACAGACATCAGACATGTGCACTGGAAGTGTATTAACATAAACAGTCAGTCTGAATACTTGTTTTCCTCAGTGTATACGTGACTAAAGTTTTCAACCTTCCTTTTTTGCTTAAATGTTTACAGTTGAGTATAATGGGAAAAGTAATTAAACATAAACATAAAACCAGAGATGTGCAGATACTGAAACAAACATATCCATATTATTCAGATTAATCATGTTAACAATGATTTATAGCATGTTTTGTGCACAACTAGCTGTTAAGCACATGTTTGAAACCTTTGAGATGACAGTGATTTATGTCAGTGTTTGCCATCGAGAAGCTCCCACATTCTGAAACGTGATGTTTGAGACTTATTTCAGTTTTTGGTGGTGCAGTAAACCACTTGTCTTGTAACACAATGTGCTTTTAACTATCACTGGTGTTTCAGCAATACATGTTTTTATTTATTTTTTTTGTTATATATATATCTTTGTCTTGCAAACAGGGTAGCAAAAGGAAAAATTTTGGCAAACAGGAAATGACCACATATCTGAGGTTCATTCTTGCACGTATGAAAGAAAGAGTAAGTTTGTATTGTTACTCTGATTATCTGTAAGATTATCTTTCATCTGATGGCCTTCACACTACACGGAGCATATTTTCAGCTGAATCTCTGTGTTCCTCAGGCGGTCGACCTGCCCAAGAGAGGCAAAGAGACAAAGCAGCCCATGTACAGGAGGCTGATCCACACAGCACTGGACGTGGACAACATTCAGGAGGTGAGAGCAACGACACAAGACACAGTGCACATATAGAGACAGGATGTTGCTTCGCACTTTAGATCTACTGAAGAGATCAGCTCTAGACCTAATTATAGACGGTGGGTTGTTATTCGCATATACTGATATGAATTGATCTTAGTACTTGTTCGCCTAATCAGGTATTCAGAGGAAGCCACAAATAAAATCTGTATGGCGAAATCCTCAGCAGTTCACATGAATGAGAATACGAACAAATAATTATATAAATAATTAAATAAAAACAAGAAAGCAGGCTGTTGTCTCGTCTTTGTATATAAGAAAAAGGTAGGAACTACTCCTCCGTCAAAGAATGACAAACAGTTGCTCACAATTGTGGGAATTCCATAATCATTAACTCCATTAACTGCATAATCATACTCAGCTGATTTTTGCTCCATCCCCACACAGAAAAGTAGCGACACTTAAGATCAATATAACCACAGGTTGGCATGTGCAGTCTTAAATGAAAAAAATGAAATAAATCACACAAATTATTTTAAATTGGTTCTCGTGCAATGCGAAATAGCGCCATCTAAGCAGAGGCATGTTTGGAAATATTTTTAAAAAGTAACTACACCCCACTATTTCCAGATAGCTCCATTCCTGGCTCTACTTTGAAAAATGTCCAAAATGGGAGGGGCACGCTGGGAAGGGCACTGCAGTGATGTACGGGTTTAGAGGTGGGGCTGCGAGGGAAACCGGGTGGGCTGGGCTGGGCTGCTGTGTTTTTTTAGCTAACGTTAGCCCCCAGAAATATTGAGAGTGACCAAATCAAATGGCACTTTTGCAACTTGAAGGTCGTACTTTGGTGCGAAGACACGTCATCTGCGCCTACAGCAGAGTTGAACCAAAGGAGCGCTGCAGAGGTGGAACTGACCATGATGAAATGATATTTTCATAGTTTGGAAAGATGTGTTCACATTTCAAGCAAGGCTGGTGTATTTTATTATTACAGAACAACGCATTTCAGCTGTTAATGAAAAAAAGGTCTTGGGGTGCAGTTACTCTTTAAACATGATGCCCAGTTTGTACAGTGTAAGTTGTGTAATGTCAGCTGGTAAAGCGTTTCATCTCACACACCAAAGCAAAGCCAACAAACAGTAAATGAATGTAAAATATGCATATAAATGTTTTTCACTGAGATTTTCATTTAAAAGGAAAAATGTTCTGTGTTCAGTTTGCAAACATTTTTGAAGTGTCCATCCTTAACTGTATTTATACAACAGTTAGTTCCGGCTTTGCAAGCTGATTGGTTGAGAAACGTTCTAACCATGCTGTTTTTTCACCATAACATCAGGTTTTTTTCACAAACACTGTATCACTCCACTGAGACGCCGTTGCTAAGCAACGACTTTGACAGCTGTAGGAGATGCTCAAGCCGTTTGAACATTTTTACTTCTTACTTTGCCACAAACAGAAAATGGACACTTTTAAGATCACATTTGACCGACAGCCGATTTGGTCAGACTCTGAAAATGAGACGACACTAAATTCCCAAACTGTCATCACCACTGAGCAGCTTTTCAGTCGGCAGCTGTGACAGAAGAACAGCTGAACAACCTGGAATCAGCCAGAAATGAACCCAACACCATTCGCCAAATAAAACGGGCTGTAAGATGCTTTACAGACTGGCTGGAACAAAACAACATTAATACTGATCAGCAAAAATTGACAAAAGTGAGCTGAACTTGATATTGCGGCAGTTTTATGGCTCAGTCCGTACTTCAAAAGGCGAGGCTTACAGCAGACTGTGCAGCGAGTGGGCGGAGCTCGTTACTCTGACGTAGCAACAAGCTGCTTGTTAAGGAGCCATAATTTGGCAGAAGGAACTGCGAACATTAAAACATATTAAACGCCGCGTTCACAGCCCAGTTTATTAATTTCTTACTTTATTTATTTAACTGTTGTATAAAAGCAGTAGAACACTCGAGGTCGTGTCTTATCGCGATAACACACTCCCTCTCGTGTTCTGTTGCTTAACATACCTGATCCAGCCGAGCAAGCACTTCAGCAGCTTCTGAAAATTACAGCCAGATGTCTGTGAACTCTCCAGAAACATGTTTGGGAGCATCTACTTTATACAGATCAACTCCTGCTACTGTGGTGTCATCAAACATTTCTCTTTCCACCTGCAGAACATCTCAGAGGGCAAATACAAAAGCTTCGAGGAGTTCAAAGCAGATGCTCAGCTTATCGTGCACAACACGGCTATTCTGCACGGAGGTTAGACTAATTGTGTTGGGATGGTGGGAATACTTTATGTAGTAATGATGGGTGCGTTGATTGCTTACTCCCGGTGTTTTATTTCCCTACAGCGCATAGTGATCAGACTGAAATAGCCAGGCTTCTCTACAACGACACATGCCACGAGGTAAGAGCTCAAATGGAAGTTCATAAAATGTTTTCATTAAGCTGTTTTTAAATATCAAGTTTATGTTGGTGTTATAAGTGAATTTCGCTGTGCTGCACAAGGAGCAAAGTCTAGAAATCATAATGGCAGCTGATTTACACCAAGTCTGAGAAAGTACTTCGCGTTTTTGCTGCTGTGGGAGGGAAATTGGCTAATTTCCTTTACATCTCTGATTTTCTCACCAGTTGAATGAGTTACTTTTGTGCAGAAACTGCTTCCATCTGTCCAACGCTCGACCTGACAACTGGTTTTGTTACCCATGTGTAAGTACTGGACTGGTTTTGTGGTCCATGTCTAAGTACTGGATTAGTTTTCCACTCCACTAAATTCAGTTTTTTGTTACCTTTTTATGTTTAGGTGCCCAATCACGAGCTGGTATGGGCCAGGATGAAGGGCTTCGGCTACTGGCCGGCCAAGGTAATGCAGAGAGAAGGTAATCAGGTGGACGTGCGCTTTTTTGGCCACCAGCACCAAAGGTGAGGGCTAATTTTACAACCCCATCTGTCTCACAAATGCTAGTATATGAGAAAAAATATGAAACTGTTTCTTTTATTATTATTTTTATTATTATTATTATTAGAGCTGCATTATTTTTGTTTGTATTTCTGTTGTCATTGTTTCTGTTGTTTATTATTCAGTTAGTCGATCAGTTGACTAATTGAAACATTATGCCTTTTTCTGTTTCCTCACACTTTTATCTGTGCAACGAGCTGTTTCTGTTGTTTCATTGCATTATAGAAGAAGCCATATTGACCCTTACCTGTAATATGTCTAATGATCACATGTATCATATTAACATTATATAGCCTTTTAAAAGCTTTTATTTTCAAGTAAATGACCCTTCAACCTTATTCCAGAAGTGTCAGTGGTTGTGTTGACATGCAAAGATTTTTGCCAGTCCGATTGAATACAATCCGATTGCAGATTAAGACTGAGGTGTTTATATGCTCACTCTATTCAACGATTTGATGGAAAATCTTCGTTTACATGCTCACTACAAGTAATCCGATGCAAAACGACGCGCATGCGTGGAGTAGTGCTTAGAATAAACGTTACCATGACAGCGAACATCATGTGAGGTCCAGTCCACCTGAGAAGAGTTTCCAGTTGGCGCGTTGGAGTTTTCAATTGCTTTAAAATGATATCAGACTCAGGAAAACGTCCTTCACATGTACTTATTAAAGAAGGCCGAGAGGAAGACGTCGTGTTCTGAGACACATAAGCTGGACGTCCGTCCCACCGCCGTCTTTTAAAGATCAGAGCATAAACTTATAAACGGTATAAACTTTCGCCATGACGTGACGCACATGATCAGAACCTCGTTCAATTGGATAGAAATTGTATTCCGAATGGTGTTTACATGGACGTGTTCTATTCCAGTTGAGCTATTAGTCGGATTATTAACAGATTATCAGGCTGCATGTAAACGTGGCTAGTGTCTGGCTAATAATAGACCCTTTGCACATTTCCATACTTGATGCAGCCGAAGTCAGCATAGCAGGGGAAAACATTACAGCAATGCTGGAATTTACCAGTGAAAATGTAGACAGAATCCTTTATAATGTCTCTGATGTAGAGGACTGGCTTATTTTAACGTTTATTTTTCCGCAAAATACGTTTCTGGTGGAACAGTTTTCATTTTCTGAGCAAACTTGACCTACAAGGCTTTCTTTCAATATTACCTGCTGTCTAATGTTTACTGTAATAGAGTCAGTGTGGTGCAGCTTGAGAGTAAAGTTAACACAGTCAGTTATATCTTATTGAGTGCGTTTACACGCGCTTAATAATCCGACAAATGCAGGAAATCAGATTTGCATGTGTCATGTGTCATCAGTTTTCTGCTTTGCAGTCAGCCAATAAACTCGCAGAAGAAGACGTGATGTAAACATAATGTAAAACTCAAACTTCATGTCGCAGCTTTTTTTAAAAAACATTGTGCCGCTTTACCTGAAAATATGAACATCTAGAAGATGAAGAACATTTAAATCCTTCATTTTGTCAAGCACGTATTTGGTTTCAGCTTCGCTTCAGAAGTGTTTTGTTGCCATCTCACAGCAACGCTGCTCGCTTACTTTGGTACTGTGGTCTGTTTTCATGCATGCACAGACTGAGAAAGCCGAAAGAAATCTGAGTAAGAGTTTACATGCACTGAGAAATCTGATTACTGAGCTAAAATCCAGCTCTCTTTATCGGATTTCTTAATCAGATTTCTAGACCTTACTCCACTCATTGTCTTTTGAGCGTCAAACCTTACCAATTAGCACAGTCGCCGCAAATAACCACGCAATGAGTTTGTACAGTTTATTGGCTCATTTACCTAATTTTAGCTCTTGTCAAGCTTTCTTCTCTCTGAAAATGAAGTGTTCCACCAAATGAATGACGTATTATGTAGAAAAAGCAGGTAAATACCTTAATAAAAATGTAAAAATGCAAAAAGATATACAAAAGCATGAAAATAGTCTTGTTGCGGCTCTAGTTGTTATTAATATTATAGTTGGGGTGCCAATTTAAATCCTCTTTTAGGGACCCACAAAGCACAATGCTGACCATAAAGGGTGAATGCAGCTTGCTGGTCAGCTTGCCCGGTATATTGATGCTTGTGTGGTTTGCTTGCTCCAGGGCCTGGATCCCATCAGACAACATCCAGGAGATCTCTGTGAGCGTGCAGCAGCTACAGGTGAAGCGCAGTGCGGGCTGGAAGAAGGCCTGCGAAGAGCTGGAGCTGCACCAGCGCTTCCTGCGCGAGGGCCGCACCTGGAAGGGGCGGCCAGAGGACCGGCCAGAGCGGCCAGAGCGACCAGAGCGACCAGAGCGGCAGGACGAGCGGCAGGATGAGGCTGAGTCCAGCATCTCCTCCACCAGCAATGAGCAGGTGAGCACCACGGTTCCATCAACACTGCTGCCTGTGCTTGCTGTAATTTTTTAAGTGTTGGAGCAAAATTGAAGCAAAATTGGGATTGAAAGGATGGTCGAATGCAGAAGGATACATTTTCTGGGGCCATATGGGTTTCATTAGAAAACTTTGTAGTGTTGTCATGTGTCGTATAACACCTCAAGCATTTGTACATGTATGTTGAATATATCAGCATTAAAGAGATGTAATCTAATTTACACAATTTTGCCCAAATATATGTACAAAATATGTTTGTTTTTTTCTGGTAGCCTTTGCTTTACAGTGCACTGGAGCTATAAAGCTAATGTAACTAGAATTAATAGAACCTAATTAATATAGCATTGTAGAAATTACGTGTTATTAAGAAATAACGAGTTATTAAGTAATCTCAAATAAACTTGCTAATGTGGTTTCCAAGACCGTTTGATGTGGTTCATAGAATGAAAGATAATGAACGTTCTGCAGGAGAACCCTATTCTCTCATACTCGGCCACACTGATGTTTAACTTTTTGTTGTGCCTGTAGTCTAAGGGTAACCAGGAGCCCAAAGCCAAGAAGAGCCGTCGTTCTCAAGCACCTGAACCCAAAGAGGAGGTATGCGTTCTTTCATAACACAACAGTCAATGCGCTACGCTGGGCTTCTTCACACCGTGTCTGTGAGAATAGCCCTTCACTCCTGTTCTGTCCCAGCAGGAGCCTGAGCCGGAGGTGGAGGCGGTGAGCTCCAGTCAGGAGATCCCCACCGCCACGCCTCACCAGCCGGAGCGCATGTCCGTCTCGACACAGACCAAAAAGTCCAGTTCACCTTCATCTTCCTCTTCCTCACCGACGCCCCGCATGCTGCACCGCGGCACACAGACGGTCAACGAGGGCAGCTGCCAGAACATGTGCCACGACAAGTACACCAAAATCTTCAGCGACGTCAAGGAGATGATGAAGGCTGAGAACAAGCGGGAAACGGAGCGTGTGCTCAAAGAGGCTCTGGACAAGGTGAGGGTCAAGCCTGTAGTTTGTTTGGTTTGTTTGTTGTTGATTACAGGTTTATTGTTTCACTCATGTTGGTACAAAAGCTTGTTCAATGGATAATGGGCAAGTAATTTGGGGGAGGCTGAGCAGAGACTAGAGCTGCATTGACTAAGTGAAAAAACAGACAGTGAAGTGTCTGTGAACTGTAATTGTTGACACACTTCCAACTCGCTCTTTAATGTTCATATAAAACAAGTAGTTGTTCAGACAGATTGCTGTACACTACAGCAGAGGGAGGTAAATGGTTTCTGTTGTTATAGCACCACTAAGGAAAACACTGCGTGGTGAATTGATGGAATTTTGAATGATGGTGGCAGCCCCCCCCCGCCAAAACCCCAAAAAAAGGTGTGAATAGTTAGATTAGTCGATCAACTGGATAATAGTTGATGAATCTATGTTGTAGCTGTTACCATTAGTTTAAATAAATTGTAGCCCGAAATATGTAATATGTAAAGGCCTTCAGTTAGAAATTATTCTGCTGTTGTGTAAAATGTTAAAAAATAAATAGGTTGTAGTTCGTTAAGTTGAATGCATCATAATTTTATGCCAGGCATCCATGTCACCTCACCTCAGAGTAACAAACTGCTCTGCTTTCTACGTGCCATTGATGCTAAAAGACTAAAGTAGCCTAGGAAAAAGGGGGGTGGGGTTTATTTTATTATCAGACGATAAGAAAATTGCTCTGCAGAATTTGCGGTAGGAAGTAAGTGTACCATGAAGGCTTGATAAGTTTGATGAATCATCCCAAACAAGTATGTAGTGATTGTTATCTGATTATTGTAGCCTCTGCAGTAAAATCATGTTTTTCTTTTCAAATTAAACAGCTTCATAACTTGGCAGCACAAACAGCAGATCTGTTTACTACGACAGGTTTTTATCGCTGTTGGTGTCAGAGATAAGTAGCCTCCCACACTGTTAGCACAGTGCAGGAGCTGCAGGGCAAACAAGATCATAACATTATACAGTGTGTAACGCTACAAGACACACACACACACACACACACACACACACACATATATATATATATATATATATGTATGTATGTGTGTGTGTGTGTTTATATATGTATAGTTCTACAATTACAGACTGTAGTCTGTCTTTTTCTCTGCATACTTTGTTAGCCGCCTTTTAACACACACCACCACCCAAATAGTACCTGCTCTGTGAGGGTCCATGGGGGTCCTGACCACTGAAGAACAGGGTAAAAGGGGGCTAACAAAGTATGCAGAGAAACAGATGGACTACAATCTGTAACTGTAGAACTACAAAGTGCACCTATATAGTAAGTGGAGCTGATAAAATGGACAATGAGCGTAGAAACAAGGAGGTGGTCATAATGTTATGCCTGATTGGTGTGTGTGTGTGTGTGTGTGTGTGTGTGTGTGTGTGTGAGATATAATCTCGCTGTTGTTGGAAGAAAACCTCATATCTCCAAAATGGTAACTTTGTAGGAGAAGGAAAAAACCTACTTTACTTAAATGTAAGTCAATGGAACCAGACATTTTTCCACGTAATTTTGGGTCGTTTCTTTTGGTCCATTCATCATGGAATTTACACACAACGTAAAGGGCAACAGGTATTTTTAAATTATATCAAAAACTAAAAAATGTCAAAAATGGAGATGCGATGTTTTCTTCCGACAACAGCGATAAGCACAAACATATATACAGCTGATAATGATTAACGAATGTAGTGTCTGAAGAGACCAATAACATGGATGTTTGTATAAAAGTTCTGCCTGTGGAATTTGTCAGGCTTTTTTCTCAGTCTGTGCTCAAGCAGGGCAAGGCTGATGAAACTGAAATAAAATCTTTATCATTTAATTATTATTATTATTATCAGTGGAACTCTTGACTGGGAGTAGCAGTGCCAGTACTGGCACTGATATTGGAGCACCTCTGCTCATTTCTCCGCTTTGTTCCACCTATAAAGTTGCGGGCTGAGATGGAGGAGGAGAAGAGGCAGGCGGTGAGTAAAGCAGTGGCCAGCACTCAGGCCGAGATGGATCGCAAGTGCAAGCAGGTGAAGGACAAGTGCAAAGAGGAGCTGATGGAGGAGATGAAGAAAATGGTGAGCCAGCACAAGCAGCTCATCTCACAGACCAAGAAGAAGCAGTGGGTGAGTGAACTAATGCAGCTGCAGACTCAGGGTCATTTAGTCCTTAAAGCTGGTACATTTCACCCAGATGATTTTGAGGTTCTGTAGAAGAGATTCATTACACATTACACACATTACTGTTATGAAATCGCTCAGTTCTGCAGAGAAACAAATGCTAGCTTGTCTGTAACATGCAGTGTCAGCTCTGCACACTGGACTCTCTGGTGATTTTGCAATGTGGCAGTTTGTGAAACTCTCACAGTTCAAGGTGACTGTCAGTTTTAACTTTAGGTGCGGTCAAAGTAAGTTTGACTGCTCCATATTGCGATCTAGCTCGTACGTTCTCAGTTGCATTTGTTACCAAGCTCTAAATGAGAGCATGCCGCCAGCTAGCAGTCCAGAGCTGAGGGAACTTTATTCAGGCTTCACTGGCCGTTAAAGCCGATGTGGCTGAGTTTAGCGTCCTCAGGTATAAAGCAGTTTTGAGTGGCTTGGAAACCTTGATTACTCCCACATTAACTGACAGGAGCTGATCAGAAACATTTTCATGCTTTTTCCTCTGCTTACCTGCAAACAGAGCCAGCAACCCGATCAGGGTTACCAGATTAGGCAGAAGCCCAGTTTCTTTGATATGAAAAAGTGTTTTTATTTTATTTATTTTTTTTATTACTAACATTTATTAATAAGTAAAATAGTATTATGCAGTGTAACAATATTACTTTTACTACTACTGATGATAATAATGATGATGATAATAATGATAGTACATTATCTACACCGCTTATCCTCCTGGGATGCAGGGGTGCTGGAGACTATCCCAGCGGTCATTCGGCAGAAAGCAGGAAACACCCTGGACAGGCCACCAGTCTATCACAGGGCAGACAGACAGACATATACACTCACACCTGGGGTAATCTAGTGTGTCCAGTCAGTATTATTATTTTTATTATTCAGTTATTAAAGTAAGATCTTGAGCTTGTCTTATCCTGAAACTGAAAATGTGAATGTTCAAGACAGTATTTGAGAGAATATTTGAAAATATTCAGTAGCTGCAGCCCTCCTTATTTTAGATGAGACATGCTTCGCAGGTAAATTTTCAGTCAGTGGTGCAGTCTGGATGTTGGTGTTTCTTTTTCTTGTCTGGAAGAAAACATTAAGCATCTCTCAGACTGCAGTTAATGTTCCCATTAGCGCACTGTAGCTGCCTGCATGCGCGTTTCCTTTCGTTTATCTGCTGGCAGGCGAAGATGCTGCCTCACCACCAGTATATATTAAGTTTACATTTTCCATTATTTGGGGAAAAACATTTGCTGTGTGAAAGCCTTTAACGCATGAGCTTTGAAATGATCTTGTGGAAGCTGTGGTTCTGGAGGAGAGCACCTGTAAATCACTGCTGTCAGAACAAAACGTCGTATCTCCAAAGTGGTAACTTAACAGAGAGGAAAAAACATACTTCACTTCTAATGTAAGTCAATGGAACCAGACGTTTTCCAAGTAATTTTGGCCGTTTCTTTTGGTCCATTCGTCATGAAATTTACACAAGACGTAAAGGGCAACAGGCGTTTTCAGATTATAACACTGAAAAATGGCAAAAATGGAGATACAAGGTTTTGTTCTGACGGCAGCGAAATGCTGGTACACTGAGTGTGATGTTGTAGTTGTAGTTGTAGTAGTAATAATAATAACAGCAATAATAAGAATAATAGGGCAGTTTTCATACAAGTATCAGCTCAAAGTGCTTTATAACCAAGTAATAAATTTGATTTGAATAAACTAAAATTGAAAAGTAATAAGAGGGTATAGTGAAATTGAAAAGATGCCTTTTTAAATGTTTTTCTGAGAGTATAAACTGAGCTTGATTGCCTGAGAAAAATGTGGAACTGAGATGTTTTTCTTACACTGTGGCTCCCCCTGTCTGTCAGTGCTATAACTGCGAGGAGGAGGCCATGTATCACTGCTGCTGGAACACCTCCTACTGCTCCATCAAGTGCCAGCAGGAGCACTGGCACGCCGACCACAAACGCACCTGCCGCAGGAAAAGATGAGCCGCAGCCGGTCGCCATTCGCCGCACGCCCTCGTACCTCCACCCATCTAACACGCCACGCTATCGGATAATTTTGTTTCCACCCCCTCATCACCCCCCGCCCCCACCCCCACCCCCAACCCCACCCGGAGCCTGGAATCAGAAGTTTGCCGCAGCATTTCAAACCCACGTGCCCCAGGACACTCTTTCCTCACCGTGGAGGACTCCTCCTATTCCGCTCTGATGAACGCGGTCAGGGCGCCGAGGAGAGGATTTTACGTTTGGATTATACTGTTTTACTTCTGTAAATCTCTTTTATTTGCTGTACAATGAAAAGAGCCTTGCTTGCCTACAAACTAACTGAAATGTGAAGTAATAACCTTTTTAAACACGTGATTCTTAATCACTTGCCATGTAGATATTTTGACTTTTTATATAAGCGGACGGTGTTTGCCTCCTGCGTTGATTGACCTTGGTGGTGTTTTTCCTCTGCGCTTGGTTTTTATCGATGGTTGTGATGTATCATCTTTTTTGGGAACAGGGTTGAAGATGGCAGGTCGTTTCTGTCGGGATTAAAAAAAAAAAATACAATCTCTTCCATTTATGAATATGCACATTTCATGTTACACTTTAAAATAGAAAGATGAATTTTTAATGAAAACAGATTATTTATGTGCTAATTTTGGGTCCATTTTCTGTAGCTAAAGTGTTATAAATCTTTGCTGAGTGGGATCTTAGTGAGGTTTATATGTGTGAAACACGCCCCCTTCCAACCCCGCTGTTTCCATACTTCATGCTTTGCTTGTGTGCCCTAATGCTACCTATGTTGTTTCCTTGCAGTCTGGGAGAGTAGCCGTGTGTCACTTCCACGTTTCACGATTCCAGCTTGGTCGCCAGGGAGTCGAATATGATGAGAATCATGAGGTCAGTTTGTACAGAGATCAGTGTAAATTCTGCATTTTTAAAAAGGATTTTAAGCTCTTTTACTTCTTACCCATAAAGAAAGCAACTTATACCCCCGAAACTAAGTAGGGATTCACGTTCAAAGTTCTCACTCTGAGCTAGACGAGCTCTTCTCAGTTCGCGCTGACCTGAGCAGCCTGAAGAGTTTAGGAATCACAAGGTCTTTGTCGTCTTTTTGCACAGACTCGTATGTGGTTTGTCCCTTTCTGAATCAGCAGGTGTCGATACACCTGAGAACTTCCCTCTCTGTTTCTCCACATCACTGTTGCACTACATGTAAATAACTGTCTGCCGCTAAACGTGACCATTTGATGAGATTTGCACGTTAGTAGCATTATGTACATTTCATGAATGCATTAACTGTGTATTTGATAAAAGTCAATCTGTAAAAAAAAAAATCGATATGGGCAATTGTTTCATTCCAGTGCGCATGAAAGTCGTTATTTCCCGTTCGTTTGCCGCATCTCCTCTGTGAATGCACCTTTTTTTGTTTTTATAAGGTAATTTGACGTCACTTTGTAATCGCGAACAACCTTTTTTCTGTTTTGTTTTTTTTTTTATTTTTAATTTATGTGGGGGGAAAATGAGAGACTACTGAAAGAACGGCCACAGCCCAGCTGGCAGTCTGCACCAGGCGTAGTCTTTCCTTTCATATGTGCATACGGATTAATGTGGTGTAAAAGTTCAAAGTCCTGCGCGTCTCTGGGTCAGAGGCGCCCCCTCCTGCATTACAGTATGTAACAGTACTATGTATAAACAATAAACATATCATCAAGCGGTGATAGTGGTTTTGAAAATCTTTTTGCAGGCGAATGAAAGGGGTTTTATTTGGGGACTTTTTTTTTTCCTCCTTTTTGGAAGCCAATGCAAACTTAACAATGACAACTTTACCAATCAAAGCACTTTATTGCACCATATCTTGTGAAGGTAGGCCAAAGCAGGCTTCTATAAAAGTGTTATTTAATACTTTTAATTATGTGTACAAAACAGAATTTCAAACACACCTGCACCATACAAAATAATTTTTTTTTTGTCTTTTTTTCTGTAACCAACAATATTTACACACACCATGCAGACTCTCTCACGTAGTAAGTCTAAGATTTCCAACAAAAGAGGGAAGGAACGTCACAGGTTGAAAGTTATGTGCACATTTTTTTTTTTTTTCTCTTTTCCAAACGGGGAAAACTTTTTTTTTTTCCATTTTTGTATGGGAATGACAACACTAATGCTTCCGAATACATACGTTAAGACTTCTTTCCTTCTTTTAAAAAAAAAAGAAAAAGAAAAAAATTGCATTGTCACTCTATGAAGAAGTGTAAACTTGGTTCCCATACACAGTACAACTTTAATTACACTTATGAAAAACAAACAAACAAACAAACAAAAAAAAATCTGATAATTGTACTGGGGACGGCCGGACAGCACTATATGATCCCCACCTCTGCACCTCGAGGATTAGCTACTCACGCTAGACGTCGCAACCCTAAACCATACGCAGCGATAAGGCAGGAAAGGGCAACATTTTGCTGATCTCGGATGACCGCTAGTTTTCTGGAATTACAATAAAACAAGCACTCGTGAGCCAATTGCCATGTCCTAATGTAATGTACAAGTGACAATTCATATGCTTTCCTTTGTCCGTCTCTTAATTAGCTGCTGTATTTTTCACCTGTCAGATTTGTATATTGCATATACCTGCAGTTCCTTGGCTCTAAGGTGTGCCAGGTAGGTTGAATCTGAAATGACTAATGCAGGAAAGCAGCAAAGCAGGTAGGATTGCATTAACTTGCACATAATGTAAAAACGGGTTGCGGGCAGCTGCAGCAGAAGTTTTCCGGTCGACGTGGTTCTTTACGGGTCTTTACGTAAAAAGCACAGACTGGGATGGACTCGATGTGACCGGTACAGCCGAAATGCACTTCTGTACAAACCTGCTAATAAGTTACTCGCAGAAAAGTTTAGGATACAAAAACAGAAAAAAGGAAGAACAACTCAAAAAGCAAACAAGCAAAAAAAAAAACAAAACAAAAAAAAAACTGAGTAACGTAAGAAGTGCAGCAGTTCTGCCAAAGGTGTGACACTGTGTGTAAACAGAGCTCCAGGCACATGGTAAGAATTCTTTTCGTAAGGGCATTACACGATGCATCCATCTGATAAAAAAAGATGTTTTTCTTTTCTCCTCTTTCTCCGTTCGCAGTGACGTTATTCTCGGCTTCACTCGTGTGCGTGTTAAACGTTCGTCAAACTTCTGTCTACAAACAGACACCATGCAAGTGGCAAGTACTGCATCGGAAACTTTTCATTGGTGACTCCTAGATCTTATTCTCATATATATTTATATATATTTATATTTATTTATTTATATATATATAATTTGTATATTTATATTTTTTACATATACTTGATGTGATACTACTCACTCAAGATGATACAATGCTTTGTTTTATATTAGCAATATTATTTAATGAGGAAAACATTTCCAAATGTCTTCTCTCACACACTTCTAAAAAGAACAAAATAAATAATAACTATTTTCTGTACATAATTACACAACTTGACTTTTGTGTTTACCTTCAGCTTTGTACAATGATATTAAACATGTAATTGAAAAAGCAGGGGACTTTTTTTTGTTGTTTTTTTTGCATCCTGCTATGGGGACATTTACAAAGGTCATAAAATGAAAATGGGCAAATTGCTGGAGGACGGTTGCAGTTATACATAGAACTGTATCGGTTTTGTACCTCTTCAAAAAAAAAAAAATAGTGTCCTGCATCGTTTATATACGTAGAACTTGGAACAAGTTACTCCAAATCAACAGTAAACGTAAAATACACAGTTTGCCACAGTATGTAGATATTTAAAAATCCTTCGCTCATGTAGGGCTGACTAAAAATGAGCAACGCTGCGATACCGTACATGAAAACAGAGCGACACACTTGTAAAAAGCGATATCCAAACGAGCAAAAGCAGGGGCTCTTCCTCCATCCTGGAGAAGGACGGTGGCTTCCTTTCGTCCAAAATGAATTGATTCTTCCTTCAATTCGTGTCTCTGTCCGTCAGAGCGCTCGCATTTTCTCTCACTGCCAGTACTTTTCTCTTTTGATGAAGACGACCCCACCAGTCATTTGCGATCTGCAAACACACACACTCACACACTGGGGCTACATATTATAGGCCACGTAGATGGGGTCCAGCTGGTCCGCGAGGAAGCCGTCGCGCAGATGCATCCTCTGCTTCTCTCCGCGGGAGTTGATGGGGATCACGCCGACGTCCACCACTACCACCACGCCCACGATCAGGTAATGCTCCTCCAGCACCGCGTTAGTCACCAGCGGCACCAGGTCCAGCGCCTCCTGCTCCGAACCCTCCAGCTCCACCACCACCACCAGCAGGTTGGTCCAGGGAAACACCGCACTGCAGATAAATAACCAAAAAAAAACACAGTTACTCTCAGCCAAGCCACCAAAACAGGCCTCATAAAAAATGAAGCGCAGAGCTGAAAACAGGGACGATACCACTCCATGATGCTCTTGTGTGCGCGGATGACGGAGGTTTCGATGTCGATGGGGTGGTACCTCATCCCCCTCAGCTCCATGGCCTCATCCAGGGCGCCCACCACGTACAGCGCATCATGCCTCTCTGTGAACACATCACATATGAGAGCTATTGGCACATTCTGACATCATTCTGTATCAGTAATGTTCAATATTTATCACAATATCAATTTTAAACGGGAACAAACTTGATACAGTACAGTCATGTACAAACATGAACACCCCTAAAATTTGTTTTTAGAGATTATTAGAGATTTTAATGAACAGTACTGGGGTGGAAAAACAAAACATTAATTATGGCCTGTGCATTTTACATTTTATTTGTTTCCAATATGTTAAGCTTAGAAAATCAATAGAAATTGTGCACTACAATTTGCAGAAACACCCCACACCATAAAAATTGATTCAAGGTTTTAACTTAAAAAAGTAAGTAACCTGGTTGCCTTAAATTTTTGACTTCATTGTACTTCTACAAGTAAGCTAACACAACAAGAATCTGTGTTTTTCATTCTGTTAACTAATTTTTAAGGTTTTGGAAACAAAATTTTTTAAAGCAACCTGCGTGCTTAGTTTTTTAAATTAAAAGACAATCATTTTTTACAGTGCATATTTTTGTTTATAGTTCATGGTCACTTTTTGCTGAAACCAAACAAAAATTGAGTTTAACCAAGGGTGTTAAAGTTTTGCATATAACTATATTTACTACTTTTTCACTTGCTAAGACATGACTTTCGCAGAATGTAAGTTACCTTGACCTGTCCTACCAAAACTGCCATGATGGTGTAAAACTGTTTATTTACTGGCAAAGTAATAACATTAGATTCACTGTATATACTTTAATACACACAGTCTGCAGGTCTGACAGTGTTTACGCTGTCAAGGACTGTTACTCATTTTCAGTGAACCGATAAACAGTCATTGCTGTTGTGGACTGACAGCTGGTCTGTTTCTTTCCCCCACTGGACACTGTCTGGTCTCTACTGTCCTGGTTTAATGGTGGTATAGTTATTGTATATTATAGAGAGGTGCTGTATAGTGTGTGTATAGTCTGCACGGCTGTCTGCTGCTCTATAAATAACTGAAAGATGGTGTAAAACCGAGATATTTCACCATATTTCTCTCGTCTTGATGTAAACTGGGTGGTCCTAATCTTGGGTAGTGCTTCTGTATGCATTCCGCTGACCAATCACAAGGCTGCATCTCTTGCCCCGCCCACACAAAACAGTTTCAGAGAAACTAGACCACCTGTCTGTAGCTGCCTGTCGCCCGTTCACTCGTTTATGTACGCAAACAACATTCATTCATCTGTTCCTTCATTCACGTGTTGCTTTGTCCATCAATTTGTTCATCCCTCCGTCCGTCCATCCGCACATCTGCTCGTCAGTGACTTTTTTCTTCTAATTAGTGTCACATAAAAGCTGGATAATGATTTTAGCTCTATATGAGGGGCAGAGCAGGCTAGGACTGTTGGAGAGAGCTGTCAACCATGCTGCTCATTAGCCACACAGGTCTCAGATTATAGCAGTTTATACCCTGCGTTTTATCATATTTACATCTTATATTTTTCATTCAAGCTTTGCTGGATGTTTAATGTAACACTGAAGTTTAATATCATATAAACATTTTTTAATATTTCACTCGTTCCCCAGGGCTTTAAATGTAGCACCGTGTCCTGGAGAAGCAATATTTCAGTTCCTCACTCATCACATCTGTGATATGAAGGAATGAAAATAAAGCTGAATTCCAATACCACTGACTGCTAACAGCAGCGTGAGAAACAGAACCTGATCCTTTTATATAAAACCCCTGAAAAATGTGCTGTTTAGGCCTCTTTCACATCACAAGACCCACAGAAAACCCTCCACACCAGGTTCTTCATAATGACCTCGGTGTGTTTAGCGCACAAAAACGTCAACAACATAACAATCTTTCAAACGAGACCTGAGTATGAAAGCGTGGTGGAAACTGAGTGAAAAAGCCCAACATTCAAACAGGTGTGTGTGTTTATCAAGATCACCTCCGCTGGCGTCGGTCAGCTCGGTCCGGCGCAGGAATCCCAGGTAGCCAGTGCGCGCCCACACGGTCTGCGTGTCTCCGAAGCTGAGGCGGGAGTTAAAGTGGTCAGACTGCAGAGCCTCGTCTCCGTACACGGTGAAGTAGCCGCTGCCGTTATGACCGCTGTGCACCCAGATCTACAAACACAGAGCAGCGAGGAAGAGAACAAAC